TGTGGAACCAGATGGGCCACATGCAAAGCAAGTGTCTTAACCCCATGTCTCTTGAGCACAGATGTCTGATTTTTAAAATTGAGGTTTTCTGTCTTTTTTTTTTCTGATTTCTAAAACCACTATTTTAGACATGTTTTACAAAACTGTGTATGATAGGGTTTCTTTCCTTTTTTGGCTTTTTGGGTCACATCTAGCGATGCTCAGGGGTTACTCCTGGCTCTGCACTCAGGAATTACTCCTGGCAGTGCTTGGGGGACCATATGGGACGCTGGGGATTGAACCCAGGTCAGCTGCGTGCAAGGCCTTATCCGCTGTACTATGGCTCCTGCCCCATGATACGGTTTCAAGCATACAATGTTCCCACCTTCCAATTCCATCACCCTATGACATCATCCCTCCACCAATGAACCCAAATTCCCTCTCACCCCCCGAAACCCGATTCCTTGACATTTTTAATTATTGTAATTTGAGCCCCAATGCCTTTGTTTGCTTGTTTTGTTTGGGGGCCACGCCTGGCATTGCTCAGGGATTACTCCTGACTATGCCCAGGGATGGTGGTGCTCAGGGGACCATATAGGAAGCCAGGGATTAAACCTGGGTCATTCATGTGCAAGGCAAATGTACTATCACTGGCCTGAGCCCCATGCTTTCAGTAGTATGGGGTCTGGGGGTTTATCTATCTATCTATCTATCTATCTATCTATCTATCTATCTATCTACCTACCTACCTACCTACCTACCTACCTACCTACTTCATCTTTACACCACAGCAAAGCCCGAGGTCTCTGTCCCTTGCCTGTTATTTCCAGACCTCCTCTTTTCCACAGAACTGAAAAAGCCAGCAACTGCACCAGCAGAGAATGAGGGCTGCTTTTCTCTGCACCTTCACCAGCATGGGAGTTAACTGAATGCTTTTCATTGATCTCTTCATTGAGTTTCATAGGGCCTCACGACTATTATCTAGAGAGTTGAGGCCCCTAATTTGTGATAAAAATTTAAAGCACCTTTTGTTGTTTTGGGGTCACACAGTGATGCACATGCACAGGGGTAACTTCAGTCTTTACTCTCAGGGATTATGGACTCTGGTGACCATATGGGATGCCGGAGATTGAACTGGGGTTGGCTGCGTGCAAGGCAAGCACCCTACCCATTGCACTGTCTCTTAGACCTCCAAAACTCCTTTTGGGGCTGGAGTGATAGCACAGTGGGTAAGGTGTTTGCCTTGCACGCTTCCGACACAAGTTCGAACCCCAACATTCCATATGGTCCCCTGAGCACCACCAGGAGTAATTCCTGAGTGCAAAGCCAGGAGTAACCCCTTGAACACTGCTGAGCAAAGCAAAAAAAAAAAAAAAAAACCAAACCAAAATCAAAACTCCTCCTTTTGATTATTAAAAATGTTATTGTGGAAGTGAAAGTGACCGGGAGAGGCAAGGGGTTCCGGGTAATGTAGTGAAGATAGCTGGTCATTTTAAATCTCACCAACATGGCTGGCAGCTAGATAGTGAAAATGGCTAAGGGGCTGGGATGGTAACAATTAGAAGGGGACCACAAGTCAGATAACTTTCTCTTGGGCCCCTCACCTGTGCCAGGCTAACAGTAAGAGAGCAATGTTCACCCTAATGGCCTGAGAACAAAGGAAGGTCAAAGGGACAAAGAGCTGCAGGACTAGAGGCCTTGAGAAGCAAAGCCCAGAGTCCCAGCAACCTTTGAGCTGGAAAACACCAAAGAATACAGGGCAACAGGGATAGGATGAGTGACATTGCACTCTGAAAAGGTACACGAGGGACAGGAGGAGCGACTTCATCACTGGAAATAGGAAAATCATTTGGGGAGAGGCGAGTGGTGTGCACAGGAAGCAAAGAACCTGGATAGCTTAATGGCCTTAATAGCTTCCTACTTTAAACTGTACAGTACAGACACTTTAATATTCAGTAAGTTTATGAGCCTAAATTTACTTCTAAGAATGCTAGCTAGAAGTTGAAGAGATAGTACAGTGGGTAAGGCACATTCCTCTCACACAATGGACCTGCGTTAGATCAGTTAAATCCCTGGCACTCTGTAGGATCCCCAAGCCCAGGAGTAATTCCTGAACACCAGTAGGTGTGGCCTCAAACCAGAAACAAAAGGAAAATGACAACTTACTCTTGCAAACTCCTGAAGGCTACTTTGTTTCCAAATGGATTTAATGTGTTTGATTGAACAAGGGTTATCAGCCAGCCTACTCTCATTATCATGCCTGAGGAAGGTTTTTTTTTTTTTTTGGCTTTTTGGGTTACACCCAGCGATGCTCAGGGGTTACTCCTGGTGATTCTCGGGGACCATATGGGATGCTGGGAACCGAACCCGGGTTCACCCCGTGCAAGGCAAATGCCCTACCTGCTGTGCTATCGCTCCAGCTCTGCCTGAGGAATATTCTTACATGAACACCTAATCAGATAAAATCATTGTCTAATAGGACAATTTTTAATTTTATTTTTTGTTTTTTGCTTTTTGGGTCCCACCCAGTGATGCTTAGGGATTTCTCCTGGTTCTGCACTCAGGAATTACTCCTGGCGGTATTGGGAGACCATATGGGATGCTGGAAATCGAACCCAGGTCGGCCACATGCAAGGCAAATGCCCTACTCGCTGTTCCATTGCTCCAGCCCCTAACAGGGAAATTTTTAGTTTTAAGAATCCACTGTAGCTCTTTACATTAAATATAAGATAAAATTTATTAGTCTTGTTAAAGTATCCTATGTTCACTTTTCTCTCCTACCTAAACATTGCTTACATTTTTCTTGTCTTTTTGGGGTGAGAGGTGAGTAGGGAGGTTTATAAGATGGCAAGAGACTTGTGAGCAAGGGAAACAATATTAGAGCTAAACTATTGTTTTTTAATTTATTTTTTATTTTTAGTGAAACACCATGAGGTACAGTTGTAGATTTACAATTTTTTGTGCTTGGGTTTCGATTATACAATGATCAAATACCCATCCCTCCACCAATGCCCATTTTCCACCACCATGGATAATATCCCTCCCACCCCCATCCCTCCCATCTCACCCTGCCTCTGTGGCAGGGCAATCCCTTGTGTTCTCTCTCTCCTTTTGAGTGTTGTGGTCTGCAAAAGAGGCTTTGAGTGGCAAACATGCTCAGTCCATAGTCTACTTTCAACATGCATCTCCCCTCCTGGGAGGATCCTCCAAACACCCTTTATTTGGTGCTCCCTTCTCTAACTGAGCTGCCCTTTCCCCTAGAATGCCTGGTTGGCCTCTAAGCTATGGAGTAATCCTCCTGGTGTTGACTCAGCTATTCTTGGGTATTAATCTCATATTTTGTTTCTTTATATTCCCCAGATGAATGCAATCTTTCTATGTCTATCCCTCTCTTTGACTCATTTCGCTTAACTTGATACTTTCCATGTTGTACCACTTGTATATAAATTTCATGACTTCATCTTTTCTAACATAGAGCTAAACTATTATAGTATCTTCCTTCAGTTGTCTTGGATTATGGGTATTTGTGTAAGAAGAAATAACCATCAAAAATCAAGGTGCATTTCTTCAATTTTATTAGAATCTACAGTTGCAAGTGGTGTGAAGTCACTTTTTAACACTATTGCACAGTCAGTGGACACATATTTAGAATATTTTACAAAGTTTTTGCTATAATCAGAGTTGTCCTATTTTATATGAATATACCCAAAAGACAACTTTCTCTATTTTTCCTCTTAGAATATTAGTGATATTCCTTTTATTTAGTTATTCTGGAGATGCAGAGAACCAAGGGCCTTATTTCACTGTGAACTTTGAAATGGCTATGAAATTGCAAAGTGTCTTTTGCAGCCAGCACACTTAATATTTGTTACCACGCTAGATATTTGTAAACAAACATACTCTTCTCCAGAACTCTAGCTTCTGGGGCTGGAGCTCTACAATGCAGTGGTTAAGGTGCTCGCCTTCTATTCTGCTGATCTGGTTTGATCCATGACACCCATGACACATCCCCTGAGCTCCAGGAAGAAACTGTGAGCATTGCTGGGTGTTGCCCCCAAACCAAACCAGACAAAACTCTAGTTTCTGTTAGCTCAGCATTTTTTTTGAAAGGGTAAAAGCTCTTATTTCTTGCTGAATTATTTATGTGGTACTGAGCAGGCTCCCAAGCTTCCATTACCACCTGAAGTATTTGTTCTTTAGGCATAAATCATTCCATCAGTCTGAATATTTTCAGCACCACCTAGGGAGTGGCGTATCTGGATTTGAGAATGACTCTGAGTTATTGTTCATATCTGGAGGTAGAACTGACTTCAGGCATCTTATATATAATATGATTTAACATCAATCCTGGGTCCCCCTCTGGATTTTCCATAACCAGAAGGTGGAGACGTTACTGGCGCCCGCTCGAGCAAATCGATGACTAACGGGAAGTTAAGTGATTAAGTGATTAAGAAGGTGGAACAAGGAGTGTGGGCTGAATACAGCCCTGGGATCTGGCTAGGAAGGAACGTGAAAGTTTGGAATGACAGAGATTCTCTTCTCATGGTACCTTCATATTAGAAAGAAGGAAAGCACAAAGAGGCAGAGTTGACGAAATCTATGAAGAGTTAATGTAACAGGGCCAGAACAGTAGGTGCTTGCCGTTATGCAGCTGATCCAGGTTTGATCCCCAGCACCACAATATGGTCCCCCAAGTTCCACGAGGAGTGATTCCTGAGGTGGAGCGAGGGGAAGCCCTGAGCACTGCTGGGTGTGGCCCCAAACAAAAAAAGAAAAGAAAAGAAAATTCCACGCATCAGGCACTACATAGGTACACGCGTTGCAAATACCAACTTAACATAGTTCTTTCTTTCACAGAAAATCAATCAGTCTGAGATTTCCTGTTCTTCCTTTACCTTCCTTATTCTTTGACCAACTTTTGGCCTTTATTTGCTGCTCTGTTTCCTTATTTCTCCGAGGCACTGGGGTGGTGCAACAGAGAATGCCACCCTAGGTTTGTCTCAGACTCACTCAATGGAAAAAAAAAAAAAAGGAAAGATGGAGACCAGAAGCAGAGCAGAGTTACCACCCATGAGCTTGGGCCACTGATAATTATGAAGAGAGGAGGCCATAAGGTACCAATCTGCAGCAAGTAGATATTGTTAAAAGAGTGCAGAACTCAAGGTCAGAATAATGATGCATCATTTGTCACTTTTAGCTATCTGGCTTTGAACCAGTCAACTCTCTCTGAACTTGAGTTCTCTAGTTTTTGAAATGAGAAAGTAACATCTGTCCTGCCCATCAAAGCAAGGAGCACCAAATAGGAAGATGTGCTTAAAACTCCCCTGTAAATGATAAGGTTCTACTTAAACATTAAGTAGCTGATAAATTAGAAGGACTATAAAGGAGGAAAATGATTTGGGTGGTTTAAAATAGTTTACAACATTTATTTAAAAATTTCACAAGTAAGCTAAAGGTTGTTGACCTTCCTCTCAGAGGGTCGCATTTTCATTTCATTTCCTTTCTTTCCCAGCAAATCACTGATTTGCTGATCCTGAGAGGAGATGTCAATGTTGTCATTTACAACCATTTAGGTCAGCTTCTAGGAGCCTGTGAGAATGGTCTGTACCATCACAAAGCCAGTTCCTGAAAGGAGGGCTCAAATATCACTTGAGGAAAAATTCAGTTCCACATGTTGATGTTAAAGTAGAAGTTTCTTTTGACTATTGGTACAAAATAAAGACAACTGCCCAAAATGAAAGAAATACTAGAGAAAAGCTTCCATGGCAATGACTTCCTGCAGAAAATTTGATCCGACCTTCAACTGCTGGATAAACTACTTGCATTTTTGAGATGTATTCAGAAACCACACTGATATCTTGGTCACCTAGGGGAAAACGAAAGTTATTTTAACTAGAGGGGGAAAAAAATCACTTAACATTAAGAATGGTAGCAAATGGGGTGGTAGGCAATGCAGTTCTTTAAAATTCTTTGTAATTATATGGGAAAAGAACCCCTATTTTAGCTGAAATAACAGCAGAGAAGACACAATGGTGACCATAAGTATAGAAAACTGAATTTTTCTCGCTCCTCATGAGAAAAGTGCTCATTTATGCCCGATACTGGATATGTGGGGAGAACAGAGTTGTCTGCTCTGGGATGATCCAAAAGTGAAGTCATCATAACTTTGAGTCACTCTAGACAATCATATTAGGAAACTAGATCAAAAGCAATTAGTTGAGACATAAAAGTGAGTTTCTTTTGCTGTCTGGTCAAGAACTATTATTACAGTAAAATTGATAGTGAGACAATAAAGATATTCAGTTCCAAAAAAGAGGGAGGTGATGAAGAACTCTCAATTGTTTAAGACTACACGAAGCCCCTAAAAGGACGTGTGTTTGTGTGTGTGTATGTACACACATATAATAATGTAAGGACTCTTTGTTCTGTCTGCAGTGGTTCTCACAAGCTACTGAGAGTAATCATTATAATCACTGGAAGACTCTTACCCAGTTTAACTAGAGTTTCTAGAAGTTGGGGCCAAGGCACTGACAATTGAAAACACCCACTGAATGCATCTAATGTCTAGTGGGGGCTAAGACCCAGGGCTGAGGCATCCTCAGTCTTCTGTATTCCAACACTCAGCAGTCTGGGCTTGAGTATTACATAGTCATTAATCAATTTGTCACCCATGGGGTTCACAAGAACCTCCTCCTTCATTGCTGGGGGCTATCCCCAGTGTTACCAGGAAGGGGGCAGAGTTCATGTGGTCCCGGGGCTCATTCTCAGGATCTCACACATGCACAGCCTGTGCTCTATCACACAAGCCACACCTTAAGTCCCAGAGAATGGCCTTTTAAACCTGACCTTCCATCCACTATCATGTAATGAACAGAAGGAGCATGGTGTGCCTAAGCTACGGGGAATAGCTAGACCTTCTCGAAACAAGGAGCTAAAATAGCAGGATACCCAGGCCAAGGAGGATCCTGTCCAGGCTCCTTGCTGGGGATACAGAGAAGTGCTGCATGCCCTGTAAGCATGCTGGTTTCCAGGAAGAGGAAGGTAAACAATGTATTCTGTGATTGAGCTTTGTGTGTTCTCAATGGGTTTTTAATGTGAAGCTGATAATCATCCTCTCTGCTGCCAAAATACCGACCAAGGTCAAGTATGAGTCTGCCTATCATTTGCTTTACCAGCTCACTCTGCTTAAGAAAGAAGGTCATAACTTATGTTGCTCTATTTGACCTAGTCACTCTAAAAGCTTCAAGGAAGTTGAACTAATTTAATATGGTTTTGTGTCAGTCCAACCTGAAGTTCCAGAGGTGTGATGTTTTTCAGCAGGTGCATAACATTCCACTATTTAAAGAGCTGAACAGGTATGCGTGCTTAAAAGACTTCAAGGTGCTTTTGATTATGAATGCTTTCTCCGTGGGTTTGGAAGGATAGGTGTGTGCTGGGTAGGGACAGGGCATATAGTCACTTGCTGTCTACAATTTCCCAACAAATAGAATGGGAGTTAATATGGGGCAGGTTTATGACATGCACGTACCTTCCCTTTTGACCAAACATGTTGATCCCATGTGCCTTTGGGACAGGAAGAGGCAAAGGCTCATGTGCTTACCGGAGTCATGTTTGAGTGCGTCATCTCTTAGCATCTGGAATCCATCTCCACCATTGGCAAGAAAGTCTGGGAGTACGACTTTATAGATGCCATCCTCTTTGAGAGGCTCATATCTGGGCACGCGACATTGCGTACAAAGAACATCTAAACTGACCACCCTGTCTCCAGGACTGCGGGAGAGATCATATACCACATGAATTCCTAGAAAAGAAATGAATATATTTTCACCAGATTCAGATGGAAAAGATCCAATTCCTAAGAAAGGAATTTGGGGCAACGTCTGGAGTTGGGGCACTGGATGTGGTTTTCACTTGGGTGGTGCTCTCATGAGCAGGCTTGGAGATCTAGGCCCCGGGTACCGCACACTTAGGTTTCTCTGCCGGTTCTTTCATGCGTGAGGCTTGTCCGAACGTGTGGAGAGTGGTCTTAAGCATGGCTGTGGCTGGAATCGGAGGTCTTCAGCTGCCGGGGCTCTGCTTGGGGTGAGGAGGGAAACTCAACCCACCCTCCTCCAAGGGGCCCCAGTGAGGACAGCCAGGCACGGAAGCAGGACTCTTGGAGGAGGGTGGGTTGAACTCCTATGGGGATGGGCTGACATTACTTGGGGAAACTATATAACTTTTCCTCTTCTCCCCCCTTGTTTTTTTGCTGGGGGTTGAACTGAGTGTCTCCCAGGTACCAGACATGTGCTCCACCAGGGAGCCTGTTGTTTCAAGTCCTGTGACCCCACACCATTTTAAAAGTAGTTAATCAAATTTATTTTGAATTCTCCCAAGTGGTGCTCAGAATGCCTGGGGCCCCACTGGTGATTCTCAGGTAACTGGGTCACTGGTTCTTCGCAGTTGCCCAAGGATGCAGTGCTGCTGGGGCTTTGTGCAGCTCAGGGATGCTGGGGCCACCCTAGTGGTGGTGCGGGGCCTTAGGGCTGCCCCAGTGATGGTGGGGGAACCAAGTGGTGCCAGAAATTGAACCTGGGTTGGACACAGGCTGGGCATGTGCCCTTATCACATTTCCTGGCTCCCAAATTTGTTGTTGTTTGTTTGGTGCCCCTACTTGGCAGTGCTCAGGGCTTATAGCTGGCTTTGCACTTAGGGATCACTCCTAGCACCTCGCTTGTGGGGCTAGGAACTATATGTGGTGCCAGTGTAAGACAAGCACCCTACCCACTGTGCTATTACTCGGCCTCCAGAAGCCCATCTCTTAAGTGTCTTAAAATAAATTGGTCTAACAACTTGGTTTGATAACTTAAAGATGAGTGAAAAATTGGTTTAATGAGGAGATAAGCTAATGCTTTGTTACAGTTTTGAAGACTACCAACTGGTAATAATGATTTGGGTAACTTTGACAAAACATACAGTTACCCGCACCATATCAAAACATCAAAATCTTGCTGTGTTGTCAGAGCTCCCAGAAAGATTACAGAATGTCTGGCTTATCCCAGAGACAACAAGCGGTGGTTCCCTCTAGCAGCACCAGCCTACCAACCCCAGCCAGAAGTGTTATGCAGAGGAAGACTTGGCAAACAACCAGCCAATCAAAGGCTTGATCTAAAGTCCAAAAGTAAGGCGAAAACACATGTCCAAAGAAAATAAAATTATTGCGTTGAGGATTAACTCAAAGGACTATAGTGTTGCCTGCTGACAAGAGTGTTTCCAAGGTCTTGGTCATTTGGGAAGTATTTATTTTGATATTTATTTTCACTCGTTTCAGTGCAATTCATGAGTCTGGAACTGCAGGGGCTCCCACTGTGATCAGTGAGGCCCAAGCCCTGCCCCAGGTCACAGGGCAGATTGAGATGTGCAGTGGATCCCCACAGCAACTTGCCTCTCCCAAAACCACACTTGTTAGGGCAGTGTGGACACAGCTTTTCCCTGCATGGTTTGAGGGAATCAGGACTAGAACAGTCTTTTATGGAATATGGATATTTCATATGGAATATCTATAAGAATATGGAATGTTCAAGCAATTTACATGTGAACTAGATGTCCAGGTAACTGATCTGTTTAGTGTAGAGGGTCAGTTCCTGCTGAAGGTCAGGCAAACAATGCTCATTCGAGTCCTTGGAGTGCAGACCATGACCAAGTCCCCATGGCATGGCTGCGCATGACCACTGAGAGTCCATACAGTGGTGCTGGGAGGGGCAGAGAGAACACAGAGGCGGGGCCCTGCAGGGTGGGAGTGGTCCTAGGCAGGAAGGAGCCTCCCCCGACTTTGGTGACTTACCGCCCACCTGCAGGAACTCTCCGCTGGACTGGCCGTAGCGGTACACGCTGTGTTCGAAGGCCTTCTTCAGGGTGGAGCCTTTTAGTTGGATCAGGTCATAGGTGCCTCCAAAGGGCAACACTGCAGCCAGGTTCTCCCAGGTGATTGTGCCTGAGGTGGTCAGAGATGGGGCAAGAAGGAAAACAGCTTGAGGACCAGCTCTCCCCAGCTTCCCAGGGAAGCTGGGGAGGGCAGGGAGGCCCCAGAACGGGAGCAGGCTCCCAGGGCAGGAAGGGCCCTTGTTGTGCAGTTCCTGACTCTTGGTGAGGGAAGGGATAATTCAGAAGGCCTCTGGCTCCGCCCTCCCCACTGGGCATGATGCAGCCTGGCTGGAAGTTGTGACTCCCAGGTCCCTTGACTGCCTGTCTTGGGGCTGAGCATCCACAGAGCCCACAAGTCCTCAGGGCCTGCCTGTTGCTGTTGTCTGAGCTGAGTCGGGGTTCACAGAAACTCCTTGGTTCTGACATAGATCTGGGGGAACCACACAAGCATCTCAGTATCCTCAGTATCTGTCAAGTTGGATTCATTTACTCTAGGATATAACCTTGCGTCCCTGGAAGACACTACAAGAGCACTTGGTCTCTCTCTCCAGAGACCAAGAGGGAGGTCCATGTCCTGCCCACACCAGCCCCCACCAGAATTCAGCCCTGTGACTTACAAGTCTGGATCAAGCTGGGCTGGCACTAGCCTGAGCTGTGGCCTCTGAGTGCTAGTGCCCAGGGAGCACACATGTGGAAATGAGTCTTGGGGCTGGGCACTGACTTGTGTATCTGCTACGTGTAAGGACTGCCATGATGTGTGGCTGGCACAGAGGTGAGCTGACGCCATGTGTGGGCACATCCAGGAAAGAACACACAGTACTCAGGCCCCAGGTGAAGACATACCATTGTTCCGCTCATCAATGGGCGACCGAATGGCGCCTCCATTTAAAATGCACATGGACACGTGGTTCCAGGAGACTTCATCCGGGTGTCTAAGGTTGTTGTTAATCTGCAACGGTAGCATGGACTTCTATCAGGGATTCTAGGAACTTGGGTAGTTATCAGGAGGAAAGGAAGCTGCTCTAGGAATCTCGAGATGCCTCAGGGCTACAGCTGACCCCAGAGCAACGCTGGTGAGAATTTATAGGTGGATGTTTCCAACCTCTCCCACCTCCTCAACCTGAAGACAAGAGGATGGAGACCTTTATGATGTTCCATTTAGGAGTTTCCTGAGAACATTTTCCTTTCTCACAGTATACTCTCTCTCTCCTCTCTCTCTCTCTCTCTATATATATATATATATGTATATATATATTTATATGAAATACACAGTATATAACACAGTATATAATACATTCAAGGTATGGAATATGTGTTTATGTTCACAGACTTCTAGGCAATAGCATGTTTTAGTACTGAATTTGCAGGGTACCACATTATATAAAGATCTTTTTTAAATGAATCATCATGAGGTACAGTTACAGACTTAAAAGCTTTTGTGCTGACATTTCAGTCATACAATGATCGAGTACCCATCCCTCCACCAGTGCCCATTCTCCACCTCCAGTGTTCCCACTATCCCTCCCACCACCCCCACCCCATCTCCCCCCCACCCCACCCCACCCCACCTCTGTGGCAGGGCATTCCCTTTTTCTCTTTCCTTATGGATGTTGTGGTTTGCAATAGTCAGAAAGAGAGGGACAGACATAGAAAGATTGCACTCATTTGTGGAATATAAAGTAACAGAATGGGAGACTAACACCCAAGAATAGTAGCGATGAGTACCAGGAGGATTGCTCCACGGCTTGGAAGCTGGCCTCATATGTGGGGGGAAAAGGCAGCTCAGATAGAGAAGGGACCAACCAGTATGGGGTGCTTGGAGGGGCCCGCTCAGGATGGGAGATGTGTGCTTTTCTTTCTTAAAAAAAAAATGGCTTCCCATTCCCTACAGTAATGCTCAGAGGGACTGGGACAAGACAGCCCAGTGCTCCGGGCCACCAGGCATTGGCAGTGGCCAGGGGAGATCGTGTGGTACTGGGGAATGATTTCTGATCCTTGTGCATGCCAGTGCTGCATCCCTGAGCCTTGAGTGGTCTCCCCGGTACTGGGAAGGGAATTGTTGGCTGGGGTGGGTGTCATGTTCCAATGTTAGCACTATTCAAGAGTCAGCTGTGATCAGAACCACATTCATGCTCTGAGTAGCAAATATAGAATATTGTGACTAGTCTTATGCCAGACTCTTAGAAGCCTGGGGTGATAGTACAGTGGGGAGGGTTTTGCCTTGCATGCAACCCGCCCTAGTTCTATCCCCAGCATCCCATATGGTCCCTGAAGCACTTCCAGGAGTAATTCCTTAATTCCTGAGTGCAGAGCCAGGAGTAACCCTTGAGCATCACTGGGTGTCACCCAAAAAGGCAAAAAAAAAAAAGTAGAAACCAGTAGCTCTGAGGCCCCTCTCCTCAGACCTGTCACTCCCAGGCAGGAGCCTTACCTGAATAGGCTGTGGGGGGGCCAGTGGGAGGCCTCCCTGCAGACGGCTGCTCCTTCTCAGCCTCTCCAGCTCAGTCTAGCTTTCTCCCAAAGTGATCCCTAAAAGTCTTTCAACTCTTGACCTCAGGAAAGTACCCCGACCTCTACAATTAGGCCCCCAAGAAACTCCCAAGTCAGCAGTTCTGAAGGTACAGATATATTACCTAAGTGAAGGAGAATCAGGTTCTTTTGAACATTTGAAAAATACATGTGTGGTTACAAAAAATCTTCTCAGATGGAAAACAAAACAGTGCCAAAACAAAACTTTTCTTAAACTTGTTCGTATCTTTTCATTCACAAAGACATGAATAGTACGAACATCTGGGGTGTTCCCTTCCAGCCCTTTCTTGAATCGTGTACACGGCTTCTCTCTAACACTTCTGTCTCCTGAACACTGATGTTGGGCACCCAGAATCTATCTCAGCATGCAACATAGGAGCCTGTGTGTGGGTGCTGAGCCCCGGGGGCGGGAGTCTGAACAGGCTCCAGTGGTGCCCTGGGGTGGTCATGCCAGAGCTCTGGGACACAGGTGGACAGACAGTGGGTCTTCCCATGAGTGGCCTTGCTCAGCGGCAGACTTACTGTCATCATTACAGTGAATGGTCTCACTCTCTGCTTGTGAGGGAATCAGTGGCCACGCCAGACCCAGACTCTCTCAAGCCAAGTAGACAGGTCAGTGAAAAAGCAGGGGGGTCAGGATAGACCACATAGACACACTTTGTCTGCTATGGCTACAGATAGCAGAATCTGTATATTCAAGAGTCATCTCACTCCTAATTCAGAGCACCAAAATGAGTCCCTTAAAATAGAATTGTAGCACTGAAGCACTGTCCTCTCTTTGTTCAATGATTTGCTTGAGTGGGAACCAGTAACGTCTCCGTTGTGAGACTTGTTACTGTTTTTGGCATATTGAATATGTCACTGGTAGCTTGCCAGGCTTTGCTGTGCGGGCGAGATACTCTCAGTAGCTTGCCAGGCTCTCCAAGAGGGGTGGAGGAACCGAACCCAGGTCAGCTGCATGCAAGGCAAATGCCCTACCCGCTACGCTATTGCTCCAGCCCCCTTTAAAATAAGACTTTTTAAAAGTCAGTGGGTCAAGGTGGGTACCTTCCCAAGGACTGCTGGATACATCCTGGCCAACCTTTTGTCTGGGCATTAATTTCCTTCACATCTCCTCCTACCTGTATCCTTCCTCCTTCCAGTCTCCATCGCCTCTCTCCAGGTACCACTCACCATAGCATCACAAATAAGGTTGCCCATGTTACATTCTTTAAAGCGGCAGGATTCAGTGGAGCCATCCAGGTAGACAATTGTTTTTCCCAATTCCTGGGTGGAATAATTATCTAATTTGATCCTCCATTTGTTAATGTCTGCTTTTATTGTTGGATCTAGAAGAAAGAAAGGAGGTGGGAGAAAGCAGCCTGCAGTTAAAGGTCTCAAATTAAAAAAAAAAGGAAAGAAATATAACAAACACATCACACCACACACACACACACACACACACACACACACACACACACACACACACAAAGAAGCTCTCAGTTCCAGCCTACATTTTGGAAAAGGAAGGAATCAAATATCAGGTAGTTTAGTGTTGAATAGTATAGAGGTTGTGACCCCTCACTGTCCTCCATCCCTCTCTGTTCTGATGATGGTAAACAGGAAACGGCATGTGAGGAAAACTTAGGTAGGTGGTGGGGTTGTAAATGATTGGCATAAATGTGCTTTGACAGTGTAAGTTAGATGATAACGGAAAGGCTGCAAATCATGGGAAATTGTCTTTGAGCCACCCAACTGGAACCTTTTTGCCTCAGCAATTCATGCCTCTCTGGCCATGAGCTTTGAGTTGCTTTTCCACAGCAGAGAACTGCGTAGAAAGGCACAAATGGGGGTTTGAGAGATAGTATATTAGGTGTGGCACTTACTTTGTACATAGCCAAGCCAGATTTCATCCCTGGCACCACAAGATGGTCCCTGAGCCCCACTATGAGTGATTCCTGAGCAAAGAGCCAGGAATAAGTCGTGAGTACCGCTGGGTGTGACCCCCAAACAAGCAGAGTGTCTAATATGTGTCTGATACTGAACCCATTTGGCAAAAGAAATAAGGAATTTTTGACCCATGGGTGTGTTTCAAGGTTCATTGTCCATAAAGAGGGTGAAACTTAGGAGAGAAGGTAAATTTATTGGTACCTTGTCCTAAAACAGGAACCCAATCCCAAAACAGTCCAGCCACTCCCCTGTTGACATGATATAATATTCAACACTCAGCGAGTTTCATATACCTTCGGGAATGCTGCTGTTGAGAAGAATGGGGTTTCCATGTGTTGTGATGACATCTCCCTTCTCATCAAACTCCACCTTCAGGTAGCCTAGGTATTTGCCAAACGCGTAGGCCTGGACCACAGGCACCTTCCGCCCATCATCGGAGGTGACGATGAACGGGTAGTTCCCAGCAGGCACCTCCTTGGAAGGTGGAGTACCTGCAAGAAAGAACACATGGATCAAGTCAGCCCTTGTACCTAGCTGGCTTCAGGCCAGATGACACCGAGCATCTAACTGACGCCAGCTGCCAATGCACACAGCAGATCTCTCGGAGACTCAGACGCCACCCAGACATCTGCCCCTGTTTCCGGATTCCCTTCTGTTCCATGAGTCCTTCCATTCTCAACTCTTCAGGCTTGACAAAGCCCTTCCCAAGTCTGAGGCTCTCTGCCTGGTGCTTTGGGGTCACCGAGAGACGACACTCCCACCCACACCCTCATCTGGCTCCATTCTCCCCAGTCAGGTTGTCCCTCAGTCTCCTTACCTGTAAAGTGTGGAACACTAGGACTAAATGAAAGATCGAAACTCCCTCCCAGTTGTCAGGCATGCACTCAGGGAAAGACATCTCTCAGGCCGAAGAGAGAGCACAGTGGGAATGGTGCTTGCCTGCATGCAGTCAACCCAGGTTTGGTTCCCAGCACTGCCAGGAAGTGACCTCCTAGCACAGAGCGGGGTGTAGCTCCAGACATGGTCAAGTGTGGCCCCCAAACAAACAAAAAGTCAATTTCTTTCCCTAATGAGGTGATAGCATTATAGAGAAGAGAGGATACTCAGACCAGATATTCAAGTGTTCATGGAAGGAAGATGGGAAATGACAAAGGGTTTGTTACAGAACTCTGCCCATCAGCAAAGCCCCTTCACTCTATGAACTGCCCCCTGTGCAGATGTCCAACTCAGCTGACCCCACCTGGGGCTGAGCTCTACTACCACCAGACTCAAAGTCCCCTGGGCAGAGCGTGAGAGCCTCTCATCAGCCTCCTTCCAGGGCACATGAAGTCTAGGAGCTGGACACACCTCACTCTTGGGTTCCCCGCATTTTCTCGCTCCATTCGACAGGACCCAGTAGCCAAAGCGTAGCTGTTTTGAATCAGAGACTGGAGAACATGCACTCTTTTTTTTTTTTTAAGCATTCCTATTTTATTGACCAGTGATTTTGATTTCAATAGGAAGAGTGAGTGGTCATGAGGGGGTGGTGGAGTGAAGGCTAGAAGTGTTTGAGCAGTTTTTCCATATAGCTCTCAAACATTCATGTTTTTGATTTATTTTGTAGCAGTATGTAAAAACTAATATATCTTGCCGTTATTATTATTTTTTTAATTAGTGAAACACCATGAGGTACAGTTGTAGACTTACAAGTTTTTGTGCTTGGGTTTCAGTTATATAATGATCAAGTACCCATCCCACCACCAGTGCCCATTCTCCACTCCCACCAATCCCAGTATCCCTCCCACCCCCCATCCCCCACCCCACCCGGCCTCTGTGGCAGGGCACTCCCTTTTGTTCTCTCTCTCCTTTTGGGTGCTGTGGTTTGCAAAAGAGGCATTGAGTGGCAATCATGTTTGGTCTATAGTCTACTTTCAGCATGCATCTCCCATCCTGGGCGGATCTTCCCAACACCCTTTATTTGGTGCTCCCTTCTCTATCTGGGCTGCCTTTACCCCTAGAGTATGTAGCTGGCCTCGAAGCCAAGAACATGCACTCTTCACCCACTTCTGTTTTAATTTGGGGGTGGGGAGGGCTCCAAAACAGTGCTCCAAGTACCTGGAGGTCATCCTGGCCATTTTAAAAAATTGAATCACCTTGAGATACACAGTTGCAAAGTTGTTCATGATTGGGTTTCAGTCATACAATGTTCCATCACCCATTCCTTCACCAGTGTCCATTTCCCACCAATGTCCCCCGTTTCCCTCCTGGCCCCCCTCAGCCTACCTCTGTGGCAGGCACTTTTCTTCTCTCTCTCTCTCTCTCTCTCTCTCTCTCTCTCTCTCTCTCTCTCTCTCTCTCTCTCTCCTTTTGGGCATTATGGTTTGCAATACACTGTCTTCCCGTTGTTCATCGATTTTTTGCTCGAGCAGGCCCAGTAACGTCTCCATTGTGAGACTTCTTGTTACTGTGTTTGGCATTTCGAATACGTCACGGGGAGCTTGCCAGGCTTTGCCATGTGGGCGAGATACTCTCGGTAGCTTGCCGGGCTCTCCGAGAGGGGCAGAGGAATCGAACCCGGCTTGGCCGGGCTGGCTGCACGCAAGGCAAATGCCTTACTGCTGTGCTATCGCTCCAGCCCCCATGGTTTGCAATACAGGTCCTGGAATATTAGGTGTTTGTGCCTTTACCTACTTTCAGCACCAGTTCTTATTTAGAGCGACCATTTCCAACTACCATTGTCATAGTGGTCGCTTTTCTATTCTATTCTAGCTGTCCTCCATCCTGGCCATTCTTGACCAACCAGGAGAGGCGGAATGTGGAGGCCTGAGGATGCAGCGCTGTTTGTGCTCTACAGTGCTCAGGACCACAGGCCACTCTCTGGGCTACACCTGGTGTTCCCAGGGGTCCACGCCATTTTTATCACCTGTGTCCCTTCACCAAAGGCCAGGCCTTCCTCGAGGGACTCTCGGGGCCCAGCAACCCCAGCACATACTGGCCATGCAGCAGAGCAGGTAGGAGAGTTGGTGAGCTGCCAGGCATGGAGCACTGTCCATTTCACCCTTCCAACTGTCTATGGGAAGGACGTTGCAAAACTGTGATTCTGACTCCAAACAGACAAGGAAAGGGAGTTGGAGAGAGATTACAGTGGGCACGGCACTCGTCTTGCATTTGGCAGACCCACGTTTGATCCCAGACACCCCATATGATCCCCCGAGTAATGTTGGGAGTGATCCCTTAGCACAGAGCCAGGAATAAGTCCTGAGCATCATTGGGTGTGGATCCCAAACGAACAAACAGCTGAAACCAAACGGCAGAAGGCAGGTGCAAACAGTTTAAAGACTGTCCTAGACAACGGCCTGAAGCCACATGGTGGGCCATGAGGCGAAGCGGATGGGAAAGCAGGTCGCACTGTGCCGAGTCTTTAGCTTCCTCGCCATCCCCCAAAGCCAGGCAGGTGCCATTCTGCAACGGCAGGCCGCCAGGGCCCACTCACAACTCAAATGCAAGGTCGGGGGTGTGCTTTGGTCCCCAAGAATTTCATGGGCTACAGTAGAGACAGGGGCCAGGAAGATTGCTCTGTGGATGGAAGCCTGCCTCATGAGCTGGGGGAGAAGGCAGCTGGAGTAGAGAAGGGATCACTAAGGCGATGATGGTCGGAGCGGTCTCTCAGGATTGGAAATGCGAATGGAAAGTAGACAAAGGACCCAATATGATGGCCTCTCGGTGTCTGTATTGGAAACCATAATGCCCAAGAGTAGAGAGAAAGAAGGAGATTATCTGCCACAGAGGCAGGGGGTGTGGGGTAGGGCGGGGGTGGCGGGAAGGATACTGGGGACACTGGTGGTGGAAAATGGACACTGGTGGAGGGATGGGTGTTCGATCCCTGTATGACTGAAACTCAGTCATGAAAGCTTTGTAGCTGTATCCCACAGTGATTCAATAATTAAGAAAAAAAGAATTTCCTGGGTTTTCTCTTTTGCATCAGACCAACGGGGGTAAATTCTATAAATGTCCCCACTCCTCTGTACAGGCTTGTGCCGAAAGCAGGCTTCTTCCAGGTCTGTAATCACAGAGCAAAGATGCTGCAAATTCAAACTCAGGCATTTCACAAGCTGGAAAGAGCTGAACCCAGCTTGACTTTTGCTCCCTCTGGGGGGGGCAAATAAATAAATAAATAAATAAATCCTTTATCCTTATTTTAGCTTAAAAGTCGCTGACTCGAGATCCGTTGTGGGCTGCGTGTGATGGGCAACGTTGGCCGATGCATCCCAGAGTGGCAGGGAGGCTCACCTGCTTGCTCTCCTCCTCCTCTTCTGTGCTAGTACTCATGGGCTCGGGCTGGGGCAACGCGCACCCACCTTCTCAAGCTGGGCGGGGCTGGGGAAGGGGTTTCGAGTCCAGAGAGGTCAGCAAAGGTGCAGTTTGCAACAGTTCCACCAGGTGGCGCGAAACCCCCCCTCCTGAAGAAAAGACTAAGATTTAGGAACTGAAAGTTTCCTGGGAACCTCCAAAAGAGCACGTCTTTCCCTGCTTCTTTTTTTTTTCTTTAAAACTGTTGCTGAATAGACATTTCCTCCAAAAGCACAGAGAGCTTCATGAAAATATCCGGGATAGGCGGCCTGGTGGGTGCAAGGAGGGGGCAGGGCAAGACAGTGGGTGGGATGTAAATGGTCTACGGCCAGGAAACAATTAAAAAGTAAAAATACCGAAGGTGGAGAGGTAGTACAGCGGGTAAGGTGTTTGGTTCCATCCCGGGAACCACAAACTGGTGCCTGTGTGCATCTCTTCCTGCCCCCCGCCCACCCTCCGCCCCACAAACAAACAAACAACTACCCACTCACCCCCAACCAAGAAAAAACACTGTCCACTGTCACTGTCCTCCCGTTGTTCATTGATTTTCTCCAGCGGCCACCAGTAATGTCTCCATTGTGAGACTTGTTGTTACTGTTTTTGGCATATCGAATATGCCATGGGTGCTTTGCCAGGCTCTGCCGAGCGGACAGATGCTCCGTAGCTTGCCTGGTTCTCTGAGAGGGTCGGAGGAATCAAACTAGGCTCGGCCGCATGCAAGGCAAACGCCCTACCCGCTTATGCTATCGCTCTGGCCCAAGAAAAAACAAGAACAACAAAATTTTTAAAAATGCTGTATGATTTATGATCTAGCAATTCTACTTCTGGGTAGTTATATAAAGAACAAGAACACACTAATCTGAAAAATTATGAGCCTGACTTTCAGCTTTCATTCGTTTTGCTGCCTTTCACAGACATATCCAAACTAAAACAATATATATGTATTTCGTATATATATATACATATATATATATATATGTAGCACTGTAGCACTGTCCTCCCGTTATTCATCAATTTGCTCGAGCGGGTCCAGTAACACGGCTCTGTGAAGGCAAATGCCTACCCACTGTACTACTGCTCCAGCCTCCAAAGAAATCACTCCTTTTTTTTTTTTTTTTTAGCTACACCTGGCGGTGCTCAGGGCCTTCCTCTGCACTCAAGG